TCAACTTTCTGCTCTTGGAGGAAAAACATGCATTCTTGGTGCATAATAAAATTCAAATCCCTCTTCCCACTAGTGATGGCCTTTGTGGCTCATCCAGGCAGCCTCATCCTAAATGTCTGTGATGTAACTCAAAGAGAACAAAATACTCAGTTCTGAATTTGGAGGGAAGAGCAAATAAGCCCAGTACATAGTCCCAACAAGCCACAGTGATTGTGTAAAAATATGTTTTGTATCTGGCATTTGATTTGCCACACAGTTTAACAGAAAAGTAACTTTATCTATTTTTTCCAATTAAAGGTAGTAATAGTACAATCAATAATTCCTCCTGCTCTAGTGTAGTAAATTAATGTCTGTCTATTGTTTTTAAATCACAAAGTGAACATTGCTATAGAAATGTAAAATGGTACCATTTCATTTTAATCTATTTAATTTTCCTTTCTTGAATTATATAATGGGGTTAAAACGTTGAATAGAATTAATAGAATGAGTATTTAATTAAGCAATAATGAGCTTCTAAATGGATGCTCAAAGAAACTGCTTCATAGTTTATGCAGAAATCAGATAATGGTCTTAACAAAGACTATAATAATTGTGTTGAACATTTTCCATATTTAATTTTTTTTTTTTGTATTCTCTCAGGAGTAAATTTAAACATAACCCAGTTCCTTGATTAGGCTACACTTTGCTTTCAAAGTAAATCCCAAATGCCTTTCCATGGCCAACAGGGCCCTGCATAAGCTGACTCTACCACCTCTGGAGTCTGATGTCAAAGAGTTCTCTCTGGCTCTCTGCTTCATTCCAGCCACACCCAGCTTGCCTTTGCTCTGCAAAGGCACCTGTGGCTCTTCCTGCCACCTGGCCTTTGTTCCTGCTCTTTCAGATGCCAGGTGTGTTCTCACCCCCTTCACCTCTCTAAGGCCTCCTCCTCTTTCAGTTCTCAGGGAATTTTTCCCTGATGATCCTCTCCAGACTGGATCAGATACCCGCCTGTACACACACAGAGAGAGACTCCCCGAGAACTGTGATTTTATTCCTTGACAATTAACACATTGTTATACATTTCTTTCCTATCTGTCTCTCGTTTCAGCCTGCAATTTCCATGAGGAAATATCATGTCTGTTTTGTTTAGTGGTGTATCCCTGGATGGATGGATGGATGGATGGATGGATGGATGGATGATAGATGGATGGATGGATGGACGGATGATGAATGGAATGATAGATAAAGAGATGGATGATGGATGGATGCATGGATAGATGGATGGATAAATAGATGGATGGCAGGTAAATATCGTTGTGGACCCATCCAAGGACACATGAGGGCCACAGTGCACATCTCTGAGAATTCCTAGCACATCAGCACCTTTCCATTCTACCTGAATTCATTTGCTCACACACTAACAAGGTATTCTATACCAGCCCCTTCAGCAGGTGCTGCAGACATAAAACTATCAGTGTCGTGAAAGAAGCTGCACAGGTTTGTCTCACTTATACGTGGCCTAAATATTAATTTTATTAATTCATTCATCCACCCATTCACCCACTTACCATCCATCCATCCACCACCCATCCATCCATCCACCCATCTGTCTATCCATCTATCCATCCACCCACCCATCCACCCATCCATCTATCCATTCATCCATCCCATCTTCAGACCTGCTGGTGTGTTGGATCAGGGCTGACTCATCCATCAGGCACGGTTATCATGTGCTAGGACCCTAAAATCAGAAAGAAATAAAAATAACTTTTAGGGTAAAATAAATTTTTAATTCTTTTCTTCACATCATAAAAATAATTTTTTCTGAGACAGGTTCTTGCTCTGTCACCAAGGCTGGAGTGCAGTGGTGTAATCATAACTCACTGCGGCCTCAAACTCCTACACTCAAAGATTGTCCCACCTCAGCCTCCTGAGTGTGTGGGACCACAGGCACGTGCCACCACAACTGGCTAATTTTTTACAATTTTTTTTTTTATAGAGGGTATCTCACTATGTTGCCCAGGCTCATCTTGAGTTCCTGGGCTCAAGTGATCCTCCCACCTCAGCCTCCCAAAGAGCTAGGATTACAGTGTTAGAATACCATGCCCAGCCCCCAAAATAAATTTTTTAAGGCACATTACTCTATTATGGTAGGAGGGGTTGATGAAGGCAAAGGTGCCTGGGGTCCACCAGTCATGGCACAGCTCTGCTGGAACACAGGGGAGATCAGTCCATCCCTGGTCTTCTGGAACACTCAGGCTAGTGGCAGAATCAGGCGTCAGTCAACAAGTCAGTCCCTCTTAGTCTTCCTTCTGTATGGCTTTGTCCCTTCACATTCCCTCAGCCCTCGCCTCTGCTGCCAGATCCCACTTCCTATACTTAAGATCGTTCATTCATTCAACAAATATCTACTGAGTTTCTTCTGTGCACCTAGCACCATGCAAGAGACTAGAGATAAACCCATGAAGAGACAGGTGCACATAGAGCCTCCAGCCTCCTCAAATCATGGTTTGTCACAGCGTTTTCATCTTGGCAATGACACCCGCTTTAACAGAGCAACTTCTCACTTATGCACTGGACATGACAGCATTTCTACCTGACTGGTGGTTCCCAGCATCCTCTAGCCTTAGCCCATTTCATGCCCACATGATTGACACCTGGTTTCCTAAGGTACAGGTGTCGGAAGAGCCACAAGGACAGGTTATAAGCTGACATCTGCTGTGATCTTCAGGGACAACCAGTCCTCTGGCTCTGGACTGCAGCAAGCAGGTGAAGGAAGGACTGGCCTAAGCCCTGGGGATCTGAGGTGGGCACGAATGACAGAACTGGTTGGGAGCAAAGATTACCGGAAACCAGGAGACTTAGGTCTGATCTTTGGGTCACTAAATGACTTTGGGCAGCACTCTTCCTTCTTCCTTCCTTCCTTCTCTGTGCTATCATCTTCATCTGTAATATGAAGGGATTAGATCACTCATGTGTCACCAAGCCCCCTCCTGGCTACATGGCAGATAGCATTAATTGATCACAGCACTCTTTCCTGCTGAACCCAGATGCACTGCAGGCCTGTCCACACCAGACTCAGGCAGCTTCACCCATTCACAAGGGTAGGTCCTGTCATTGACACCTGCCTGCCATCCTTAGACTTGGACTCCATCCTGCTTCTTGCCCCTACTACATATTAGATTTGTCTAGTCAGATGAAGAAAATACTGAGTCCCAGGCTTTACCCCAGAGCCTGGGGAATCTGAATTGGTCTGGGGATTCTGAATCTGAATTGATTCCCTGACTGATGCCTGATTCTGCCACTTGCCCGCATGTTCCAGAAGACCAGAGATGGACTGATCTCCCTTGTGCTCCAACCTGGCTAGAGGACCCCAGGCACTTTCTCCTTCATCAATCCCTCCTACCATAATAGATTTTCATGCACTTTAACCTTGGGGAATCCTGAATTGGAATAGGACTCAGGAAGCTTTTTCAAAGCCTCTGGGAGGTGCTAATGTGCAGACAGGGCTGAGAACCATTAGTATAGTTTTCCAGCTCAAGAATGCTATGATTTTTTGAGAAGAGGAGAAGATAGAAGATAGGTAGACATTAAACAAGAATCATATGAATCAGATCAAAATAATTGCCCCCTGGAGCTGTTTCTGTGTGGCAGCAGCCTCAGTATCCCTCCTCGTTCCCACTATTTTCTAGCCTCCATGCATGTTCTAAGAATTTTCCAGCTCTCCTTTTATGGAAGACAACTCATCCGGGTTTGCCGAGGTGCAATAAACAAATTAGTTCCAATCCCCGCCCCATCTCCTGAGAGGCCTCAGGATTAAGGTTTATGATTAATGATTTGCAAGTCAATTAATCAGTCACTGCTTTTGAAACCTCATTTCTCAAATTACTTTTCTTTGAACACAAGGGCTTTTTGACATCATCTTACTGTCTCTAGATTCACTTTCCTACTAATCGAAATTCCAAGATATTTCTTCTTCTTGTCAGCTTATTGGTGTTACTTGTTTATAAAATATTTGCAAACAGATTACTATTTACCTGTAGTGTGTCAGAGGTAAGCACCAAAACAATACTTTATGCTTCCAGCTCAAAGGAATGTGCTAATGATAGCTCATGAAATTCTCTATCTATGAGAAAGTTGATTTTTCATTTATTGATTTATTTTCACCACACCTACTTGCAATAAGTATTTGAGATGTATTACAATAGAAACACAGGTACAACAAGGCTCCAAACAATTGATGTAGATGATTTCTTAGCAAATGGTTTCTAAGTTCCTATTAAGAGTGGATATGCTGAGATCCGGCCACTGCACTCCAGCCTGGGCGACAGAGCGAGACTCCGTCTCAAAAAAAAAAAAAAAAAAAAAAAAAAAAAAAAAAAAAGAGTGGATATGGAGTGGAAAGAATGGGACTGGTTTTCTTCATTCGAGAAAATAGCAGGGTCTAGCAGAGGATCTGGGGTCAAACCCCAGTCTCTTCATTTAGAAGTCTTAGCGCTTTACTCATCTGATTATGTTGTTGTTTTGGGGAGGCAAGGCTGCGAGAACAAATGCAAACAAAAATGGCTTGAACTCAATCGAAAATTGTTTCTCATTCAATGATAGTTCAGGACAGGTGTTCTTGGCCTCCAGGTTTCTCCCCTCCATGTGGTGACTCAGGGACCCAAGCTCCTCCTCCCCTGTGGCTCCCTGCTCCCTTGGGGTTTTGTGGTCCTCTGCATTCAGGTAGGCAGAGGGTGAAAAAGCCCAGAAAGGAGGCACAGCTGTTCTTTTCACCCTCCCACCACAGAGCAGCACAGCACAGCCATGGTCAGTATCATTCTGCAGAAGAGAAGTTAGTCTCATGGCCTCACCTAAGTTCAAGAAAAGCTGAGAAGAGGAGCATAGTATCTTCTAATCATAATCCTCCTATGTTATTTATGTTTATGTGAGATGATGTGTGTAATGTACCCAGTGCAAAGCATGTAATTGACTATGTGTGTTCAAAATAGTGACCATTACCATCTGCTTTTTTTTTGCAGTTTCAAGCCACAGTCGAGGAAGGAGCTGTGGGAGTTATTGTCAATTTGACAGTTGAAGATAAAGATGACCCCACCACAGGTGCATGGAGGGCTGCCTACACCATCATCAACGGAAACCCAGGGCAGAGCTTCGAAATCCACACCAACCCCCAAACCAATGAAGGGATGCTTTCTGTCGTCAAAGTAAGGGTGCTTCCAACTGCCCCTTTCTCCTCTTGCAAGCATGGAGTGCCCTATGAGGGGACTCATAGAATCACCGAGTTTAGAAGGCCACAGATAAATTCCCCCAGTCTCCTCCTTCTGGGAATTAACAAAGGAAAATGCTTATGGCTTAAGGGTGCCCTCCTGTCCTCAGCAGCATAAACAAGCAGCCATCAAACAAACCTGTTTTGTAGGTTCTAAAATACCCAAACTTACGTGTAACTTTAAGAAAACCAAACTTAAGTGGATTATTTTTGTTTTCGTTTTTGTTTTTTGAGACAGTCTCACTCTGTCGCCTGGGCTGGGGTGCAGTAGTGTAATCTCAGCTCACTACAGTCTCCACCTCCTAGGTTCAAGTGATTCTCATGCCTCAGCCTCCTGAGTAGCTGGGATTACAGCTGCCTGCCACCATGCCTGGCTAGCTTTGGTATTTTTAGTATAAATGGGGTCTCACCATGTTGCCCAGGCTGGTCTCAAACTCCTGGCCTCAAGTGATCCGCCTGCCTTGGCCTCCCAAAGTGCTGGGGTTACAAGTGTGAGCCACCATGCCTGGCCCAAACTTAAGTTTTAAATGAAATTTTTTATACATTTGCTAAGGAATTACTAACAGATATGCCAAAATGAGATGTGTGAAGGTGTTTTTAGAGACCTGTGCTCAAAATGTGGCTATGACATGTCTTCTTAATCTTTCTTAGCAGAACTCAATTATTCCTTAAAAACACACACACAACATAATTATTGGTGTAAACCCTCTGTGAGCCTTGCTGACTCACACACTGACCCTCTCGCTGGCAACGAGTAGAACAAGGAGGAAATGTAATTATAAATGTAAAACCTCTGGCTCATGCTGATAATCCAGAAATATTACTGGGGATGGTGGCACAGAAGGCTTGCTACGGGTGGCCTTGGCATTCCGAAAGGAGGCATTTCTACACAGTTTCACTCTTAATGGGAAGTTCTGGGGAGAGTTTCTGCCAGAGACCAGGACCTTCATGGGAACACATTTTCTTTTCTAGTGGATGAAGCCATTTTCCTGAGCAGCGGGGATCAATCATATTTATAGTCATAGTAGCAGTGGGCAGAGGAGGGACGTGGCTGCCCACTCCCTGTGTGCCCTAGGCCAAGATACCCATGTTTTCTGTGCCTCAGTTTCCCCATCCATAAAATGAGAATGATAATAGAACCTACCTCTTAGGGTTGTTGTTGCAGTCCATTGAGTTGCTATAATGAAGGCTGGATGGCTTATAAACCACAGACATTCATTTCTCACAGTTCTGGAGGTTGAAAAGTCCAAGATCAACCTTCCAGCAGATTCTGTGTCTGGTGAGGACCCACTTTTGACAGATGTCCATCTTCTCTCTCTATCTTCACATGGTAGATAGAGTAAGGCAGCTCTCTGGAATCTCTTTTTTTTTTTTTTTTTTTCTTGAGATGGAGTCTTGCTCTGTCACCAGGCTGGAGTGCAATGGCATGATCTCAGCTCACTGCAACCTCCACTTCCTGAGTTCAAGTGATTCTCCTGCCTCAGTTTCCTGAGTAACTGGGATTACAGGTACATGCCACCACACCCAGCTGATTTTTGTATTTTTAATAGAGATGGATCTCACCATGTTGGCCAGGCTGGTCTTGAACTCCTGACTTCAAGTGATCTGCCTGCTCAGCCTCCCAAAGTGCTGGGATTCCAGACATGAGCCACTGTACCCTGCCAAATCCTGTTTTGCTCATATCTATTTTCCTTGAGCTGTAGCAAACACATTCTGGGGAAGACTGAGCTCCAGGATGTGTGATGGAGATGTCTATTTACCCAAGTTTTATCTTCAAGTTGCAGGTTTGGAAAATTGCCTGACAGCTTTTATAGACTCAGAATTAGCCACAGAGGACAGCCAGTGGCTATGTCATTCTATGACTTTTACAGCTTCGAAAGTGCCCACGGACACAGAGGGCCAGTGCCAGGGTTTCCTGATAACTTTGCCATTGCCAAATACATTAGTGCTTTTATGTACTTCGTGCATCACTGCTAGTCCCCATGAATAATATGCAGTACTGTAATTGCTTATTCGTACATAGTACATTCATATATAAGAGTACATTACAAACCTAGTCTACATACATATAAGCACGTATTAACAATTCCTTAATTAACTACCACACATCTACTGTTGTCAAGTACACAATAAAACCTAACCCATATGAATATTGACCTGTACTAGAAATCCTTAATATTATGTAGTACATGCATTCATTCATTGGACATAGCACATCTCAGTCAAGAAGTCCCTCACCAACAAGGATATCCCCTACCAAATTTTGGCCTCTGAATATGCCAGCCTCTGAGAAATCATCATCCCGCTCAGCAGTACTACCCTCCTCGCTCCAGACCCGTAACACTTGGGGGTGACTATCCTGAAACTATACCTGGCATCTGGTTCTTACTTCAGGGCCATAAAACTAAGTAAGATCACCCACATGTTCCTCTTAAATAAGACATCTCGATGGACTAATGACTACCACCCTATTAACCAGCCTTGGCAACAAAGTGAGACTCTGTCTCAAAATAACAAAAAAAAAAAAAACAGGACTTGTAGGAAGGAGCCATTCTCCTCTCCCTATATTCCTGCGCTGGTCCATGATGCAATGGCTCTCAAATGCTAGCATATATAAGAATCATCTGCAATGCTAGTTAAAATGCAGATTTCTGGGCTTGCCCCAGACCCACTGTGTCAGAAAATGAGGGAGAGGTGTGCCAGGTGGTTCTGTTCACAGGGCACACCTCTTGTCAAGGGACATGGCCTTTGGGGAAGGGGTTTCCATAAGCTTGTCCGCCCTCCCTGCAAATTCCAGGGGAAGAGGTGCCCACAGAGGCTGAGGCTCTTGCTGACTTCAGCTTTGCTAGTGAGTGAACTTCCTTTGCTTTGGAATTGGGATGCAGACTCTCCCTCACCCCACAGTGGCTGTCTCCCTGGTCAGTAGGAAGGGCCTTGAGCTCTATATATCTCTCAGCACATGTGAAGCAGAGCCCCAGACCACCTTCTAGAAGCCAGTTAGGCCATGCTCTCTGCTGCTGTCCACTGTGCCAGCCATTGGGGCAACCATTAGGAATGCATTCTGCTGGAAGTAACAGAATGTTAGACTAATAGCGGCTTAACTAATGAAGGGAATTTAAGAATTTTTATAACTAGATGAAGGTAGGCCAGTCCAGGATTGGCCAACAGTTCCAGGTGGCAGAGAGCCAGCAGTGGGGTGCCTCAGATGCTTTTGACTTTTTCCTCTTGGACATAAAGTGGCTGCCAAAGCCCCAGGCATCATGTCTTCCCATTGCTGTGTCCTAATGCAGGACATAAGGGGGCAGCCAGGCGAATGAGAGAAGGTGCTCTCATGTGACCCTCTCCTCTTATCGGGGCAGAAAACATCCTTTCTAAGGGTACCCTGGGCAATTTCCCATGATGTTTCGTTGGCCGATGACAGATTTTCCTTAACTTCAAGGAAAGCTGAGAAAGTCCACATCTGGCCTTTGGACTTTTACAGTGGATAAGGAAGAGGGTGGGCTGGTGATTGCTGTTGGGCAGCCAAGCACGAGCAGGTCTGCCCTAACCAGTTAGCAATCCAACATACGGAACAACTATTTGGAGCCTCAGGATGCTGCTGGTTTCCAGTACAGTCCTGCCTCTCAAAAGGACGAAATCCCAGTGGCTCTGACAAATGAGTTCCTGCTTCGTATTTAAAACCTTCAGATCAGAAACACCCTTAGTTGCTTTCTAAACTGATTCTAAAACCACCAGACAGTTATTCTTTCAGCCGAATATAATCAATCCTGCATTTTAAGTTTATTTTCTATTTTGTCCTCAAAGAAAGTAGCATCCAGAAAGCATCCCTGGTTCCCCAAACCTTTCACAGACCTAAACATAGCTATCCAGTCAGTTCTGGATCCTCCCTCTTCCAGCTAACAAACCCAGGTCCTCCATCCTTCCCATGTGAGTCAGCTTTTCCAAGCTTTAAATTTCCCAGGACAGTGGTTTACACCCTCTCTTGACACTTGAAAAAATATTAATTGAATTGCCTCTCTGTAGCTTCCATCAGGAGTATTTTCAATTTCCTCCCATCCCTGACACAGAGGCCCGGCAACAGACAAAGCACATTAATAAGATTGTGTACTTTGTGAGATCATAGAGGGCTTCTTAATCCAATTACAGCCCTCAGAGGGGATTAGGAAGAGAGACCCATGTGTCACCAGCTCTAGGTGTTCTGGCCCTGGGCATCGTACAGCTGGAGTTAGTAGATCCCACCTTGGGTGAATGGAAATAAACATTAGCGTGGCCCTGCTCCCTTCCTAAGGCCAGCCTCTCACTGCGTGGCTCCCTCCCTCGCTGCTCCCCTTCCTCTGTGGCATCCTCCACGGCATACTTCCTCCGAAGCCAGCGTTCCGTTCAGGGCGTTCTGTTCAGGGAGTGTCAGCCTGGGAACATAGGAGAAAAACTGGGGCTGGGGAAATGACTCTTGCAGCTCTTGCTTCCCCGCTCTTCTTCCTCACCATCTTCACAGCTTCTTGTTATTGATATCAATGCTAGGCCTAGCTCCATGGGAAATATTCAGCATTCATCTTGTCCCCTGATCTTTACAACAATCCTCTGTACTAGGATTTTATTGAAGAGAAAGCTGAGACTTCAGGGGTGGCGGTGACTTGCTGGTGGTCCCAGCGTTATGATGCATCAGGGCCAGGACTTGACCCCCACCCATCTTTCTATTTAATTAAAAAAACAGGGGATTTAAAAGGTAGAAATATCCAAGAATGTTAGATTTTTGCATAATCAAAATGATATATAATTGTGTTGCAAAAGACTAGTGCTAGAGAAAAGCACAAGAATTACTGTCATTCATTCATTCATTCATTCATTCATTCATCCAATGATATTTATTTAGAGCTCACTATGGTCCTGACACTGTGCTAGGTGCTCTGTATTCACGGGTGAAAGAAAGGGTGTCTGTCTACAGCCTCCAAGGCAGCTTATAGTTATAAGAGCAAGAACTTTTGCTGCAAATAATGATGTCCCCAGGAGAGAAGGAGAGGAGGGAGGGAATCGTCTCCTTGGGAAAAAACAACCAGCGGTCCCCAGCCGAGGAAAAGGAGCTGAGCGGCACAAATTGGTTATTTCCAAGCATCTTGACTGTCTCACTTGTCAGCAGATGGCTGAATTCCCCAGAAACCTCACTATCCTTCTGCTTGTGCGTAGGTCTCTGGCTCTGGGGAATGAGATGTCAGACCAAACGAGGCCAAGATTGTGATTAGTGCTGGTGTGGGTGGAGATGGCCCTTGGGAGACTGAGGTGCTCAGCATCTCACTGCTGTTCAGAGGACCCACCCTCAGCGTTCTCGTGACCCAACAAGCCAAAGGCTCTGTCCCCTCCAGGATCCTAATTGAGATGAATGGCTGTATTTTCCAAGCATGGCAGCTCCCTGGCCCTGGTTTGAAGTTTACTTTACTGAGGTTGCACATTCTGGCATCACTTGGGATGGACAGAGATCCATTATTAGGATCCATAGAAAGAAGGATAGAATGGTAAATTACTGCTGTGTTACGGGGATCGAACCGAAACACCACTATGCAGCCACTCAGTACTAAGAGCTTTGCATCTGTTAACTCTTAAAATCCTATTACTAACCCTGCTGGGAGTTGTTCTAGGTGAAGAGAGGAAGTCCAGTTACAACCAGGAAGCATCTCCAGTGTGTGTATGTGTGCACACACTCTCCCATGTGTGGAGTGCTTAGCCATGAATACATGTCAGCTGTAATTATTATGAAAGTGACTTTATTTGCCTAAAGACACTCTGACCCAACCTGCCAGATTCCACTCCCACTTTGGTGCCAGCTCTTTCCCCAGCATCAATGGTCCTCATCTCTGCTTTCATTTTCCCACATCCACAGCAACCTCTACAACTGTGGTTGCTTACTTTGAGTTGAGTGTAAATCAAATCTCTTGACTCATTTAGTCTTGTCCTTCTTGCAAGAATACCCATTATGGCATGGGTCTGATGGGTTAGCTACTTGTGCCAGTAAGCATTAGGAAAATAACTTGACAGAAGCAGTATGCCCTCATCTTACCTAAATGTCTCCCCATGCACCCCTGACAGAGCCCCACTCTGGGAAATGCCTGCAGCCACCACATCATGTGCTCTCGTGGTTGGGAAAGAGAGTGACAGACACTCAGTTGGCAGCACCATTGTATTCCTAATGTTTATCATGGAGTTTCTTTGACATCCTCTGGTTTAGTCCACACAGTGGCTGGGGGAGGTGGGTACTATCGGCCCCCTTTGCAAAATCAGCTAGAGTGGTCCTCATCAAGGCTGCCCATTGACACTGGGGTAGGACAATCCACCATTGTGTGGGACTGTCCTGGGCACGGCTTTGAATCTAGTATTGCTGGCCCCTGCCGGGCAAATGGCTGTAGAGTCCTTGAGTCAGTTGAAAATGCTCCCATACATTTTCACATGCCCTCAGATGGGCAGGGCCCAGCGGCTTAACTCCACATGGCTCAGACTCTCAAATCCTTTTCCCCACATTGTACTCTACTAGAAACCATGCGCCCAGGCTATGCTTGAAGGGACATAGAGACCCTTTGACTTTGTGGCAAGTGAGAGAGAAACATTAAATATAAAACTTTGGTTTTCCTGTTCCATTTGATCCACTGTGATCACAGAGGCAGGGTTATCTTGCTGTAAAGCGACTGAGGCTTGGGCTTTGTGGTCTTGTTTACCAGAGCCCCCGTGGGTGTCGGGGCTGTGGAGTTACAGGTTCCAGGCAGGGAGGCTTTAAGCCTCGCCGTTGCCAGGGAGTTGCCTAACAAGATCTCAGAGGGAGGCTCACTAAGGTTCAAGTCACTCACTGCCCAGATCACTAAGGCTCAAGTCATCCGTTGTCATTCATTTCTTAATAAAAAACAAACAAACAAACAAAAAACCAACATCCATACCTAATCTCACATTTTCATGTTTCATATTCTTTGTCTTAAAGATAGCCCCCCAATTACACAGGCTGCCTCCAAAGCCCAGCTCCATCCCTGAAGGCCCACTGTTGCTCGTGGAATTTCAGAGGGAGTTTGTGCAAACCACCTGCCCTTCGTGGCTGGTGTGCATCCTGAGACCCTTCTGTCTGCTTTCCAGCCATTGGACTATGAGATTTCCGCCTTTCACACCCTGCTGATCAAAGTGGAAAATGAGGACCCACTCGTACCCGATGTCTCCTATGGCCCCAGCTCCACAGCCACTGTCCACATCACTGTCCTGGATGTCAACGAGGGCCCAGTCTTCTACCCAGACCCCATGATGGTGACCAGGCAGGAGAACATCTCTGTGGGCAGTGTGCTACTGACAGTGAATGCCACGGACCCCGACTCCCTGCAGCATCAAACCATCAGGTGGGTGAGTGGCTCCGGAACCACAGACGGGAGGTGGGCAGGAATTGCTTTTCCTTTCCAGTCGCAGAAGCTGGTTGTCAGGAGCAGATACCATTAAATTAAACTTGTTAACAATCCGGGCAAGTGGGAGGAAAGCGTCATAGCGAGGAGGTTGTGGCTGACGGCTGCAGGGGGCCAGGCTCTCTGGTGAGGGTGGTGCTCCCACCTGATTCCGACCTGGGAGGAGAGTAGCTTCAGGGCTGTTTTCCCAAATGACCAGCAAGGTCTGCTGGCCCTGAGCACAGTCCTTGAAGGGAGAGAGGAGGGAGCCACTCCGGGTAGCCTCCTGCATCTCAGAAACTTGCCTACTTTGTCATTAGCACTGCTTCATGACAAATGTTTTAGCTAACTCCATTTACAGATACAGGTATTGCAGATTCATAGAGGTTCAGTACTTGCTCAAGCAGCCCAGCCTGGTGGCAGAGGAATCAGGATGGAAACAGGACACTCTGCAAAGTTCATGCTCCTTCTAGCTGCTAAATGCTCACTGACTCTGAGCTGTCAGGAGGGGTAGGAGCAAAGGCACTTCCTGGCGCTTGGAAAGAGATCATTGGGATTGGTGTTCTGCCTGATGAGGGGCAGGCAAAAATTAATAATAATAATAATAGTGTCTTCAGAAATCTCTGTCTTCCTTTCTTAAGCTCTGCCTGATGTTTAGATAAAAGGCATTTTCATAATGAGATTTAATTAAATGGTCGCTCTCTACCCGTGGTGCATCTAATGCTCACAAATAAAAGACACCCTCGTTGGTGCATTGTTTCACAATAAACTTAAATCAGCGTGCAGATCCAAATGCACGCCTGTCTCTGCAGAAGACAGTTATTAATCTTCCTCCTCCAAAATCTAATCTTCTTCTCATATGAGATACAAATAATCAAGTACTGGACACACAATAAACACATGTCTGATTTTCCTGATTTGAAACACCTGAAAATGTGCAACAGGGACTGAGTCAACCACTTTACTTTGGAGCAAGCTGGCAGAGAAGAAGCAAAAGTTATTTTCCAACCCCAAAAGTGGATTTATTTTTATGGCTAAGCTTTCCGAATGCCAGATGAACTAGACAAGCGTGTGAAATAATACCAAATCCTATAATAATGTGAATCTGAAATAGCCATTCTTTTTTTCCCTTCTTTTTCTTGTTGCTATCTGACAATGGAAACACGCAATTTAAACATCAAAGAGAAAGTCTCTCTTAAGTACTTAGATGGGAAAACTGGTAGTTTAACAGACTACAAGGTAGTTGGACAAAGGTAGGATGGCTACAGGTGAGCTTATCTGTCATCTTGTATTTCTGCAATTGCATGTGAAAGCAGGGACACTGAGGGTGATAGAATGAGTTAAATCAGGTTGATGTTTTGGACCCTGTGTCTCTGCCATTGCTGGAACAACATGGGATGCCGCCAGTCATAAAAGAGTTAATGCAATGAGGAGGGATGGATGGAGGTGTCTAGGACCGAGGACTACATGTCCCACAAAGATGGGACAGACAGTGGGAGAGGAAGGTCAGGCTGGGTTGTTTGATTAAGACCAGCTCTGCTGACTTGGGCAAAGAGAAAATGTGCTGGAAGACCCTATGGATACTACATATGATGGAGGAATATCTGAAGAACCCGCTTGAGATAGCACAGGAGCTAGGGCATCCTTCAGGCTCTAAGTCACAGGAACAGACAGGCTTGCAGTTCAGGATCTCACAGCGAGAATAAACCAGCTCCAGCTGTTTTCCATTCTAGTGTCATTCGGCCCATGGTCACATTCCCAGGGCTGCTCTGCCTTGCTGGAGCTGGGGTCATGCGCCTCCCTGCTCCGGGCACCTTGACTAGTGATCAATCGGGATGATGTTTGCAGATACCCAGCACAGAGGGCGGCTGACTGAGAAGGAGGGATGAACATCCTGTCTGGCAAATGAAGCTTGCTACTGGGAGTATGGAGGCAGGCCACAGGTGCAGTCCCAGCAAACTGAGTTAGGAACAGGATTCCAGCCTGGGGACGGAGGGGCGCCTCGGAGAGCCGAGACATTAAGGAGCATCCGGGCCAAACGAGCCATGGGGAGCAAAGGTCACGTTACTATTAAACAGCACTGGCAGACAAGGGACTTGATCCCACCGCTGTGCAAGAGAAGGAGGTCAGAGAAAGCAACCTAGAAATGACTGAAGGTAACACCCATGGAGAGAAGCTGGAACGCAGAAAGTTCTGAGGATCTTCCTGTTTCTCTAGCAAGTGTGATAATCACAGCTGTGGCCTTCCATCACAAGTAACCAGGAACCAACTCACAGTGACATAGGCCAAAGGGGGGTCCTGCTTACTCGCATGGGTCACCACACCTAATGGAAAAGTCCATGGGAACGAAGGCCTCCAGCATGATGGAATTCAGGTGCTCAGACCATATTCCTTCTCCATATCTGGCTCTCCTTTCCCCTGGGTTGTCTCTATGCTCAGCCGTATTTGCACATCTGTAGAGGGAAGAGGGAAGAGGCACCAGCAACATCTGTCCTTGATCCTCCCAGAGGAAAGCAACATCTTCCTTCCTAATCAGTAGCCCAGCCCAAGGCCCAGGTTGAGTCACGAGCACAACTCTCTGAACCAAGCAGAAGATTAGCAGGACGGATTGTGCCAGGAGTCCCGATGCCTGAGCCTGCCACGGACCCCAGCACCCAGCTCTGAGGGCCTGCAGGGGCGGCTACCCGAGGAAGTGCAGGAGGCTCGTCCCAGAGGATGGTAAAAATGCTGAGTAATCAGGAACCACAGAGAGCCACTGGCACCAAGGTCAACCTTGTGAACCCCACAGAAAATAGAGCTGCAATGTGTCTCTGCAGCTGCCTGAGACAGGATTCCAGCCTGGGGAGGGAGGGTCAATGTGACTCTTAGGTCTGCGTAAGAGTTCCAGCATTTACGAATTGGCCTGGCTAAGTGATGGCTGGACTAATCCCTTTCCCAGCCTTGGAGCAAAGTAAATATGTCCGTGCATGTGCATATGTGTGTATTGCACATATTTCTCTGGCCTCACTCCTCACACATATTCCTTCCTGCTGGCAGCCACAGCGGCCCACACGTGACCCTTTCTCAGCCTGGCACTGGCTGGACCTCCCCCGTTTTCCTTCCTCCCTTTCCCCCAGCCCTTCCCTCCCTTCCCACCCCCCAACCCCGCCAGCCCACCTTTCCCTCCTTTCCCTTTCTTCCCCTCCTCTCCTGGAGTAAAGCCGGGATAACATCTCAGCTATTGTCACGGGAGCTCTTTGGGAAAAAGAGGCTCATTAATTATTTGCAGCCTTTGATCCTGCACACTGAGAAGTGCTGTCCCTGGGGGCCTGTGTGTGCAGCAGAGGAATGGGGCTGCAGAGAGGGACTAGGGAGGGAGACAGTTTTCTAATCTAATTGTCTATGCTGAGTTACCCAGTCTTCTCAGATAGATGCAACGGCCTTGCACATCATCGTGTTACTGCTGTTGTAGTAATGATTCTTCAGGGAGCAGGCATTGGAAGAAGAAACTTATCTCAAAGAGAACTCTTCCTTCTTCTCCTCCTCCTCCTCCACAAAACAGGAGTCAGGCATCTCCTAATAACATTTTAGTATCTCTAATATCTCTTTCTTCTTCTTCCTTCTGTTGACTGCTGATGTGATACCTCTGTTCTTGTCTTCTTAGTTTAAAAGAATTTAAACAAGAGACACACAGCAAAAGAAGTGCAGCATAGAGTAATTTATTGCAACAGAAAAAGAATAGATTGAAAGTTAGGTGCAGAATCGCCAGTGCACTCTGAGAGAGAGGATTCGGGGTGGGCTGATCGCAAGAATGAGACAGCAAAGACCCACCCCAGGGAGGCTCCCTTCTGGGAGTCTTCCATGATTATTCGTAAGGAGGTGGGAAGAGGCGTTACTAGGAAGCTGTTCCGGGTGGTCTTTCGGGGGCACCTGTGCAGTAGCTGCACATGCTCATTCATGTGTCATGTGTCTCTTTAGCATCTAAAATCTCCACCCAGGGCTGTGTTTTTTACGATTATGATGAGCAAAGAGTCAGTTTAAGGACAGGTAAAATTAAAATGTGTGTGTTCTCTGAAGGGGAAAGTCTCCACTGAAGACAGCTTCGCTTGAATGAGCTCAGTTACTGTGCAAATCCTGAGATTGACTGTGTTGGCTTTGCGGTCACCACAGTTGCTGCTGCGTCCCGAGAACACGGTCACTTCCTTGACTACCTATCCACCCTCACTCCTCCTCCTTCCTCTGTCTCTCTGCCTGACTGTCTCTCTGTTTCTGTCTCTGTCTCCCCACCCCACCATCTCTGTCTTTTCTGACATTCCCTGTGATTCAGCTCCAACAACCCCATCTCATCTCACCTTATTTATCAGGCCCTCGAAACTAAAAGCCCCCATGACAGACCGGGATCCTGAGATCCTGGGATCCTGTGGCGGGGCCTGCCCATCCTAATGGCCACTGTCACCTCCTCCCTGAGGGGGCTCCTTCCATGGTCAAAATGGGAAGCCGCCTCCCCAACCCCAACCCCACCGAAACTTAGGAACACACTTCCAGCTAAGTCCAGCTCCTGGGCCACGTCCTGCCTAGCATGAGGAAATGCACGCCTCAGGCACCACCGCTCCTCTGCTGACCACAGCCAGATACCCTCTCATCTCCCTAGGGAATGCTCAAGTCAGCAAAAGGTGCCTTGATCTCCAAGGAAGCTGGGACTCCAAAGACAAGGGGTGTCCAAACATCAGAGGGAATCTTCTCACTAAAAAGCCTGGGTTATTAAGACTCGCTAAAAAGCCCTTCACATTGTGTTATTAGCCAAACCAAAATGAACAGCAGTGGTCTAGTGACAGATGAAATTCTTCTTTTTAATGACACTATCTTCTTATCCTTATTATAAAGTTAAGACAGTTTCTGGAAGAAACTTTTGAAAAGACAGGTAAGAATCAGGAAGATAATAAAGTATCTGTCATCATCTCAGACAAGGAAATCCCTTTTTC